GACGGTATGCTAAACCTTTATCGAAAATACTAGAGTTCGATCCAATATATCACAGAAATGAAACTTAATGCACGCAAAAGCCTAATGTAATGCAACTTATCGTGGGAGACGTAACGATAACACAATGAACAATGTCGCACGTAAAAGTAAGAAAATTCAACAACATAGTGCAAAGAATCAGCACATACACAATCCAAATATGTTTACAATTATTACAACATTATGTCAAACTAAAAAATCCAGCAAAACCAACGCTATTGTAAACAATCATATTCAAATCGAAATATTCCAAAACAAAAACGCAGCAATCGAATAAAATTATAACTGAATAAAAAATGATAATGAAAACCAATTGAAGCTTGAGTCAAACACAAATGCTATCGAAAATACAAAAAATGAGTACATAAACCAAACAGAAATAGAATTAAACAAAGGAAACGAAAAACCAACCGACGAAACGCGTGTGATGACTATGTTGAGTTGTAAATGCTGTTGAAAATAGGGGAACATTTTCTTGGTGCCTCGCTGCCGGTGCTGATGTGGTTACAAGGTTGTTAGTTGTTGCGTGAGCTAAAGGTGGAAAGTAGAGAGTGAAGGCGTAAATAACGGCTTACACGGTTGTTCACGGTGAGTTAGAGAGAAACATGGTGGAGATAAAAAAAAGTGTGAGTGTGATCTTGATGAAGGTGAGAGGAAAATAGACTAATGAATAGTGTAAAAGGGTAAGTTTGTGTTGATTCGCCGACAGCTCGGGGTGGCTATGGTGCGATAGTCAGTTGTGTTAACAAAAATAGGTAAATAATAATGCTATTTTATTGTTGCAATAAATATATATTAAAAATATAAATAAAAAGAGTACACAAGAAAAATATCATAAGTGCTCAACTATCCTAATTTTTTTTCGAAAGTTCAGTATTTAAAGTCAGAGCATGTTGTTGAAATTGAATCACCAATGCAACTTGATCACTTTTACTCATAATATCAATCAATGAACCTGCAAAATAATAAATTGTTAAACAAACTTAAGGTGTTGAAGAACAATGTTTTTAAGGATTTATTCACTTCATAAGTGCAAATCTCTCGAGATTCAACAGTTTCTTCCTAGATTCTCATTATGAATCTCAGGTATCCGAACAACAAAAAATATTCTTCGAGATGACTGAAAGATGTAACTAAAAAGCAAAAAAAAATAAAAACAAGAAAAGGAAGTATAAAAGATGTATTGTCATATCAATATAAAGTGTTATCTATTTTTCTACGACGTCCAAAAGTAAAAGAGTAGATGATTGTACGAGATAGATAAATTGTTTTTAATGACTTAGACTAAGTCAAGTCAACATTATAATAAATTCATTATTGACCACGGTAATTTTTCATATAAATTATAAAATAATAATAATAATAGAAGTCATGTAAACATTATTTGAGCTTTTGAGTGTTTCTGAGTTATTTAATTCTTTTAATTATTTGTATGAATGTGGTTAGTAACTATTATAATTTTATTTATTTAAAATAATGGAGAAAATAAGATTTTGAAACTTTGGGAGAAAAATAGTGTTTTTAATAAAATAGGGAGGAGAGTGGAGTTAGTGAAAGTTGAGGGGAGTTTTCAAAATTAATTAAAATAAAAGAGAATTAAGTTTTATTTATTTAAATGGCAGAAATATTGACTAGGTCCTTTAAGTTATTTTAAAATAACAAGTTAGTTCCTTAAGTTTTTTTTGCAACAATTGGGTCCTTTATGTTAAGTAACGTTTGCGTCGTTAACCTTTTTTCGAATTTCCGTTTCAAAAAAGCCTATCTGGCACAGACGAAGATGAAGTGGCAGTTAAAAGTGGTGATGTGTCATGGACGGTTGCTGAATTGACATATGTCTCCTTCTTTCTTAGATTTATGAAAATCAAAACTCTAAATCCCCAAATCACAAATCACATACTTTGAACCCTAAATCTCAATACTCTATCAACGACCTCATATGGTAGCAGTGTGAAATTCTGGCACTCTAAAACATGTTGATACTAATGTCCTTACATCGGAACATAATGTCAAGATAGATGTTACAATATCTTCTGTCTGACAGAGCAAATAAATCAAACTGAAAATAAATTGCAGAAAGATAAAATAACACAGTCAATTGTTAATCCAGATCGGTGCAACATCACCTACATCTAGGGGCATCCAAGCCAAGAAGGAAATTCATTATGATAGCATTAGTTCAAAGCTAAACTCCTCCATTTAAAACTTCTCACCTCACTACCTTGTGCAAATTCTACCTAGAAACCCTCTAGATATGAGATCCCTCTCTCACTTCCTAACAGTCACAAACCAGTGATAATTCAATAATAACCCAAAATAGAAGTACCCACCCTTCCAAGTACAATACTTAGTTTTGCTTAAAATCTTTGATTAAGACCAATACACTCTTGCTTAAAATATTTAGAGTGAAAAATTAACAACATACAACCAGTCTACCTCAATATATTAAAAGATACATGGGTGAGTTGCAAAGTCACACTAAAGAGACTCTCAAAACCTAAGACTCTAAAACCTCCCCTTATTTTTACAAAAGTGTAAGTCGTAAATACATTAGGTTTAGGTTGCTCTTTAAATAATCCTCAGCAGTCCATGGTTTTCGAAATCTTCACCCAAATATTGCTTGATCCACACGCTGATGGTTGCATCAATTATGCAGAAAAATCTCCTTAAATCTTGAAACAAATCATCAAGTTTCCTAAATTATCTCAACATCCAATTTTAGAAACTTATGAACAATTGGAGATCAAATCAAATGTTCCAGATTAAATCTTCTCGACCTGTGAAAATAAGTGAGATATATCCCAAAGAAATCTCACAGAATCAAATCAAATATGTCAAGAATAAACCTACATCCTGTACTGATGTTCTGGTATAGCACGTCACAACATCTGTCAGAATATCTTTCTTCAATGTTGATAGACCAACAAGTTAGGGCATTTCTCCCAGCATCTTTCTGTGAATCATGTTTTAGCAAAATTTTTATCAATCCTAAAACCATGGAACTAACATAGTGAACAAAATATAAGATGTTTGAATGCTAATACATTCATATCGAGTGCATCCCAAACTGGAATCGAACCGACATCTCTATGTGGAGCCAAAGCAGTGTTGAGAACATTTAAGAAGAAAGGAAGAAACTTGGGGATGCAGATACTTTGTTGTATGTTTGTTCTTTAACATTGTTGGTTTTGGATTTAGTTTATGCAAATGTAATTAGTTTTTGTTTATGGTTGTGTATATGTTAACAAAGTAAAGATGAAAATATCGGTTGCAAGTTTTTTACGTGATATGAAAACCATCACAGTGACGAAGTTAAACAAAAGATACAATCCTCACTAATTTCCAAATGTTCCAAATGTGATGGAAAGGATGTTGAAATTAAGTTGCTTAGAAGTTTGATTAATAAGGATGAGAAATACACTAAGAAGATCATGAGGAACTTGTTAGAGATGTTAAATATGCTAGGCTATGTCACTATGTTGTTAGTTTTGATCTTTGCAATGTTATGTGTATTTTGGTTTAAAATTGGAAATTGTTGTTAATTTTCATTGTAAGTCATAAGTTGTGGTACTTTCATGTAGAAATTCTTGACAATGGTTTGTTTAACTATTATGCGTTGCAATTATTGGCAATGGTTAATGAAACAATTTTGTGTTGCAATTCTATAATTGTGTTATAATTTTTCACAGTTATGTTATAATTTGTAGACAGTTATGTTATACTATGTACACCAGTAAAAATTAGTCTTAAGCATTTGTGTTACAATTCAGCAATTCTATACCACAACTGTCACAATTATGTTATAATTTATACACCAGTCAAAATTGGAAGGACCTGTTTGTTATATTTTAAAAACATACGAGACGCTAGTGTTACAAATTAAAAACATGATGTGCGTGATTGTTAAAAATTAAAAACATGAAGGACCTTTTTGTTACATTTTAAAATATATCTGACATGTTATTTTACACAATTGTGAATCTCAAACAAATTTCAAACTTAACCTTAAACAATAATTGATATTCTGAACCTTAAACAATTATAGGACAGAATACCAAGCATTACATAAACTAATCATGGTCAAAGCATTGTTATAATGTTAAAAACCAAAACAGATGTCAATAGAACAAATCCTAAAACATTACATGAGATTGTTATGGTTCAAATAGATCCAAAAACATTACATAAGATTATTTTATAACTCAACAAAATATAACATTGTTATAGAATTCAACATAATTAAACAGATAGCTAAAAAGATAGTTTATCTGGTCTTTCTCCTAATAGTTAACTTTGGTTTCATGGTTGTTGGTGGCTGAAATATTGTGTACCAACCTATCTTCCCCTTCTCATAACAAGTAATTGTGACATTGAGATGGACTATCGTGTCTGGATTCTGGAAGATGATGCTGACAATCTAGTTTGAACTCTTTGGGTTGGTTGGGATTGGATAATTGGAACTGGAGTTGTTGTTTGGGATTGTCTAGTTTGAACTCTTTGGGTTGATTGTGATTGGACAATTTGTACTTAAGGGGTTATTTGGGATTGTCTAGTTTAAACTCTTTGGGTTGGTTGGGATTGGACAATTGGGACTGAAGTGGTTGTTTGGGATTGAACAATTTGAGATTGGATAGTTTGGACACTTGTTGCAGTTTTGGCATGTTTTGGTTTTGCAGGACATGATGCTTTGTTGTGTCCAGAAATACCACATATTAAACATTTATTTGGAAGCCCCTTCCTTGAAACACTTTTTGAATCCTTTCCCTTTTCATCAGGCTCCTTGTTTCTTCTTCTTTTGGCCTCCCTAGTGCTCTTCTTGAAGGTGGTGGAAGTATGTCAGGATAAAGTGTATGTTCCCATAAATTTTCCCCATTTGTTGGATATATGAATGGTTGGCAACAAGCTTGGTATGCCTCCTTCTTATAACATGCAGAGATGTACTCATTTGGGTCTAGAGATCTACTCTACATGCAAGAAATTGCATGGTAGCATGGAATGCCACTGAGCATCCAGCTTCTGCAAGAGCACTCCAACCTTTTGAGATAAATTGTAAAACTTTCACCAGTCAAACTTCTATGCCTTACTTCATAAATTATGTCACTTGATAACCTTTGAAACAAATGCAATTCATTAAGTTAGTGTTAATAAACTTAAAATATTTGTAAAAGTAATTTGTAAATTATGAATTTTTGATGTACCTTGGTATAAAAAACCTAGAGATGTCTTGCCTTCTTTCAATCACTTTTTTAATTTTTGGAAGAATATACTCCCTATACTCTTCAGTCCTGGCTCTATTAGTTGCATATCTATCCATGAGGTACCCTCTAATCTCCTCCAACATTGTTATTGTTTGCTTTTGTCTTGGTCCAATTATAACATTGTTAAAATTTTCAGACATATTGTTCACCAACACATCACTTTTTGTATTGTATTTGAACATAGACTTACTCCAATATCTTGGAGGAATCTTCAACTAGTGTTTGAATGCCTCCTCATTAACCTTTCTCATTTCCTTCATTTCCCTTTCCCATGCTTGAGGATATGTTGCCTTGGCTACCATCCACATCAATTCCTTCAAATGTTTGCCTGTAAACCTTTTTTTGAAGTTGTTATAAAGGTGTCTAACACAAAATCTCTGGTTAACTCCAGGTAACAACTCATCTATTGCAGGTAACAACCCCTAATCATAAATTAAATACACTTTTTTACAATGCACACATGATATTTATGTTTCAATTTGGAATCCTAAAGGACAACATTATGACATTTTAAAATCATGAAAGACTTGAATGTCACATATTTATGACACTATATAACAACGCTCATATGACATTTATGTTACAAATTAAAATTATGCAGGACATATATGGTACAATTTAAAATCGTGAAGAACATAAATGTTACAAATTAAAAACAAGAAGAACATGTATCTAACCTTCTACTATTTTGAAATAAATGTTACATTTTTACAAACTTCTGACCCTCCCAAGTCACGAACTAGCAGATCAAAGAACCATGCCCAGAAGTCTTTAGTCTCTACTTCAACTAAAACCATTGTAGTAGGAAACATTTGATCATTAGGGTCTATTCCTACTGCTGCAAGGATTTGGCCTCCATAAATTCCTTTTAGAAAACATCCATCAACTCCAATTATTGGTTTACAAACTGTAAAAATCTTCCTACAAGCATCAAGGCACATATACAATCTATGAAAACTTGGTAGTAATGGTCTACTAACATATTCTTCAGGTTGTTGTTCAGTTTCTTGGACATTTAACTTGATGGTGTTGTTTGGATTTGACCTTAATACCTCATGTGCATAGTCATACAACCTTAAAATCCGCTCCTTGAATGACCCTTCAACAGTATTCAATGCTATCTTCCGTGCCCTATAAGCTTTCATCCTACTTATACCAACATTCCATTTCTCATGCACTTTTTCACATATAGAAATCAACTTAACATTAGGGTTGATTGTAATTAGTGTGTACAATTTCTTCCCAAGCCAATTAAAATTAAACATTCTAACATTGAACTCTCTATTACAAGTTTGAATGTCATTTAGTGTTCTCAATTGCCATGTATCTGCATTAGGTAATTTTGAACATAAGGCCACCCATGGACAACCTTCCTTGCAACCAACTATAACCTTAGTCTTGTCATTCTTCACATACCTTAAACCCCTTTCATTATGAACATCATAACTTACAATAACTTCATCTGCTAGTATTCAACATTAGGTTGATTACTTTAGCCTGCAGGTAATACTTCTTCTCCTACAAATACTTTAGCAAATCCATCATTTAAAACCTCATCATCTGAGTCAACAAAATTTCTTTCTCCTAATGCACTTTCATCACTATCATCAGGTTGGGCCTCATTTTATTCCTCATGTTGGTCCACACTTTGATCCATATTTTCTTCAACAGGATGATGCCTACACATATCCACATTTTGTTCCTTAGCTTGGTCCACACAATCCTTCATATTTTGTTCCTCATGTTGGTCCCCACTTTCATCCACATTTTCTTCAACCACCCGGTCCCCACACACATCCATATTTTGTTCCTCATCTTGGTCCACACAATCCTCCATATTTTATTCCTCACGTTGGTCCTCACAATCCTCTACATCTTGTTCATCAGGTTGGTCCCTACAATCCTCCATATTTTATTCCTCAAGCTGGGCCTTAATAGTTTGTGTTTCAGGTATGGAAACAACTAAATCAGATTGCTCAATGGGTGAACTATGTATATGTCAACCTTCCCCTTAGTATTGGACTAGTTTAGTGCTTCTATTGCACCAAAATCATCTTCCAGCGCCTTCAATGTTCTAGCAAAGTCATACCACAATTCTTGAACTCCTGGATACTTCATTTCCTTAATAACCCCAATATTTCAAAGTAACTCCATCTGTCATCATCACATTTCCAATTTGACACTTCACCTCCTATATATTTGCCATCAACGAAATACCCCCCATGATGAAAGTCAACATGAAACTCATCCATAACCATTATGTTCCTGTTTACATAAACCCAAAATAAGAAACATACCCTACAATTGAAACTAACATTACTTATAAGCAACACTAACCTAACCATCAACCTAAGTTCTATCATGCAGGATTGTGTAAGTGTACGTACCTAAATATGTAAGTGTACGTCTAAGTGTACGTAACCTAACTATTCAAATAATGAGAACCATAGAAAACAACCATCATCGTGTAAGTGTATGTGCCTAAATGTATCATGTACACAATGGTTTCTTCACCTTCAATGTATCCTGAACACAAGAGGAAGAAGAATCTTCACCAACTATAACACTTTTAATCAGCAAGGGGAAAAGAAAATTAGGATTATGTAACCTAACTTTGGGGATTACATATGCTTAAACACTTGAGGAATAACACAAATGCCAATTCAACAACTGTCCATGATACATCACCTCTATTAACTGCCATTTCACCTTCGTCTATGCCACATAGGCTTTTTTGGAACGAGGATTCTAAAAAAGGTTAACGATGCAAACGTTACTTGACATAAAGGACTCAATTGTTACAAAAAATAAATTAAAGGACTAACTTATTATTTTAAAATAACTTAAAGGACCTAAACAATATTTTTGCCTATTTAAATAAAAAAGTTGGGAGAGGTTTGTTAGTACGTGTTTTTGGGGAAAAGAGGCAAGAGAAGAGAAATCCCAGGAGAGCTTTTGGAAGGAAAAGAGAGAATATCCATAGCTAAAGCTTCAAGTTTGCTGCAAATTCAAGGTAGAGAAAGAGGGTGGGGGACTTGTTCATGATATGAGTGTTTAGGAATGAAGGATATAGATGATTCCTTATCCTATTTCCCCTTTCTTTCTATTTTCTTCCATTGGTGAAATTGTTGAATCTTGAGATGGTTTGTGCAAAACCTCTCTTGATTGATGTGATATGTTGTGAATTTCGTGTTGTATTGGTGCCTTATTTTTGTATGAAATTATATGTGCAATTATAATTTATGATGTTCATGTTGATATGTTTTAAATTGATGAACATGTTAATGGTTTTATGGTAAATCGATGATATAAATGATTAGTTTATACAAAATCGACATGTTTAATGTTGTATAAGTGATATACAATGATTTGTTGTAAGCTTTAGGTTTTTTAGGATTAAAATCGAAGCTTCGAAAGTGCTCTAATGGAGAAAATTAATAAATTTGCGTTCTGCACAGCGGTGATGGGTGTCACCTTCGTAACGGGGCAACAACCATTGCAATGGAATAAGTTGACAAACGTTAACAAGGTGATGGATCGATCGTCATGGCCTAAAGGACGAGTTCCTTGCCCATACGTCAACATGACGACGAGTTTGCGAGAAAGCGGTGACAGGTAGGCGTGACGGCCGTCATGCCTAGATGACTGACCATCAACCATTGTTTAACCAATTTTAGGTCATTCAACTCGATTTTTTGAGTCGATTCTAATTTCGATGTTTATTCAATGTTGTTTTGTTACTATTGATGAGTATTATCAAGAAATTATATAATTTAATTATTATGTTGAGTTTGTGACGAATGCCTCACGATGAGGAAAAATGTTGGGTATATGCTGAGATGTTTGGTTTAGAGAGGAACCATTTGTTTTGGACTTGTACTGGCGATGTTTATGTTGAGTTTAGGTCCAGAAAGGAACCAATGACAAGAATTGGAGTTTGAGGTTTGAGATGATTATTGCATTTTTTTGTTGCATTCATGCATCATGTATATCTGGGAAAGGTAGGACTTTAATCCAATAACGAGTTAAGACTTCGGTCTAGTAGTGAGTCTTAGATTCAGAGAGGAACCAATGACGAGTTTCATGGTTCAGAGAGGAACCAGGTTCATAGAGGAACTAATAACGAGTGGATGAGTTAGTAACATATCTATCATATCCAAAACCTCGGTACCATATGCATTGGAGTAGAGGAGATGAATACATTGCATGCATAACCACATTTGTGATAGATTATTGTTGAGGATGATTTATGTGATTGATGATTGATATTAATTGCATCATCCTTGCTATTTTATACACCATTAACATATATGAATGTATTCTCACCCCCTTTTTGTTTGTCTGTGTTGTTCTTTACGCGTGTGGTGCAGATTCTCAGGTAGATAAGCCTTAGATGTTGTTGTGTTTTGGAGGATGGTGTAGTGACCTTCTTCGTTATTTATTGCTTTTGAGTGTATTTTAGTTTCCACATGTCGTTTTGATAGTGTACCACCGAGACAAAAAATAATGGTGTGTTTGTATTGCGGATTATAAATTTATTCTCTGGAAAATCATTCCTAAGATTATGGTGGCAGGAATTTTATTCTTGGACATTTGTAAAAAAAAAAGTGTTTGGTAGGGATATTCATTTTAAAAGTAAAAAAAAGTAATTTATAATTTTTGCTTTAATTAAATATTATAAAAAATAGATTTTATAATTATTTTAATAGATTTATTCATCACACATGACAAATTTATGGAGGAATAGTAGTTACAAAAAGAACGGATGAGAATTAAGAGTCCGTTTAATTTGGGATAGATTGAGGGGAGGGGGGGGGGATATTTATAAAAATATGTGTTTGATTCATTTTTTATAAAGGGAGGGGAGAGGAGTGGGGCAAATTCTCTCATAGGCTCACTTTTTACTCTCTCTCAAATTGGGAGATTTGGAGGGGAGGGGTGATTTATTGTTTAGAATTTTATTATATTCCCTAATTTATCCTTAATTATTTATTTTAATTCCAAAAATTTTCTTATTGAATTATTAAAAACTAGGTTTAGGTTTTTCTCAGTATTGTTTCACGTTTCTTTTTTCTTCTATTGT